CCTACCGTAGATATGCCTGCACACCAAATTTCAAGTTCTTGGGACTTATGGTTCCCAAGTTATAGTTGATACCCTTTGTCCACGCCTATGGGATGTGCCACGCCGCTTTTTACAAACTCATGTATATATAGCCTACTGTAAGCACCTACCGCAGATATTTCTGCATACCTAATTTCAATTTCATGTGACTGATGGTTGTGAAATTATAGCTGATAAAAATTTCCACACCGGTGGGATGTGCCACGCTCCCTTTTACAAACCCCTTTATATATACTTTACTGTAAGCACCTACCACAGTTATGTCTGCATACCAAATTTCAAGTTCATGTGGCTTATAGTTCCGGAGTTATAGCTGATAAAATATTCCTATGGCATGTGCCACGCCCACTTTTACAACCTCATATTTATACCATACTATAAGCACCTACCATNCACACCGGTGGGATGTGCCACGCTCCCTTTTACAAACCCCTTTATATATACTTTACTGTAAGCACCTACCACAGTTATGTCTGCATACCAAATTTCAAGTTCATGTGGCTTATAGTTCCGGAGTTATAGCTGAGAAAGTAGTCCTATGGGATGTGCCACGCCCACTTTCACAACCTCATTCATATATACCCTACTATAAGCTCCTACCATATGTATGACTGAATAACAAATTTCAAGTTCATATGACTTATAGTTTCGGATTTATAGCTGATAAAATTTTCCACGTCCATTGGATGTGCCACGCCCACTTCTACAAACTCATTTATTTATACCATACTATAAGCACCTACCATATATATGACTGTATACCAAATTTCAAGTTCATGNTCTGTCCGTCCGTGTAGGCTGTAACCAGGCACATACATACATACATACATACTTCCACAAATATATAGTAGATATATCCTTCTCTTAGCGTAAAATAATTTTTGGGGATGTCTCGGCCAGAGGGCCACCTATCGTATAAGTTTCAAGTCCAAATATTTCTTTTAAATTGGCTAAATTGTTTTCTAAATATGAGCCAAAACAGCAAGTAAATGCAATTTTTATGAATATCCCGACCCCAGCACCACCTAGCGATTAAACTTTTAGTCGAAATCTTTCCCTTCAAGGTGCTGAAATATGTTCCAAATATGAACGAAATCGGTCCAGCCGTTTAGTAGTTTAGTGACATTCAATATACGGAAAACTATGAAATTGTGAAATCGTGACGTCTCAGCTTTCTTCATTTTTCGTCAACAACAACGAAAAATTTCAAATATTTTTAAATCAAAGAACCTTCCACACAGAAGGTCCAAGAAAGTACTTTTTACAGAATTGAAATCGGTTCAACCGTTTGGTCTGGCATCGCGGTCATGCGAAAAACATTTCATTTTTATATATAGATTAATCACATTCGGTAAACTATCCATTATTTTGAATGGCAAAAAATGTGCGACATAGTACATAGTAACTGTTACCTCCTTGTTTAGGCTTTTATCCTCTAAGGCATTCCTCTCCAGCTCTTTTTGTAGCACGCTTTCTATCGACTTTTGATTTTTATTTTCTGCGATTTTTTTATGTGGCTTGCTGCACTTTCATGCCTCTTTAAGTTTGTGAAATTGTTGTCAAGTTGTTTGGCGCAAATTTTACAAAACGCAGTGTTATTAAATTTATGCAACCACGGCCGGCCCGCTTCCCATTCTGGTTTATAATTCTTAGATATTTATTTTTGCGCTGTTCATCTCTACATTAAAAAATAAATACATTATAATAAAATATGTAAGTTATCTAAATACATTTACTTACCTATTATTTTTCGTTTCCATGATTACGCGCACTTTGAGGCAAGGCACATTAAACAGGTAGTATCAGTAGAGCAAAAACAACATTTGCGTGTATTTTGTTGTTGCTTCTGGTATCGAAAGTATCAAAAACTGTTCTGAATTTTTTCTTCTAAATCAAAGCGTGCCATGTGAAATACAAAAAATTATAAAAAATAAAAAAATTGAAATTGGAAAAAATAAAAATTGATGCAACTTTCTTTCCTAGTAAATTTGTTTGCTTCTCGAAGCATTGATCCATCCTTTGCAAGGCCCAGTAATCAGCGGTCGTGCTGCTGAGTTGGGCGAACGTTCCAAAAGCTGCTATTCAATCGCTTGTTTTGTATGGAAAAAGGTTTCACATGCAAATGGATTTTAACAATTCAGAATTTTTGTGAGAAAAAATTAAAAATATTTGACATTTTCGAGACCAAATAATTTGAAAATAAATCAAATCAGCTGCTCTACTGATACTACCTGTTCAATGTACCTTGGTTTGAGGAAATAAAACTCAGTTAACGAAACGACTACTTTAACGAGTACTTTTGTCAAGAAAATTTAACCGATAAGTACTAGTACTCGAGTATTCTTTTGCTCGATGAAAGTAATCGTGCATTAAGTAATCTTCTCCACAGAGTTGCATTTTGTGATTTTATTGATAACACTTAATTTACACGTTCGAAAAATTGCTTTCAATTTGGAAATTCTGGGGAAAATTTCAGTATATTGGGACTATTTCGCAGTAGATTTTTTTTTCGTCTCAAAAATGCAGCAAATCTACTGCAATTGCAGTAAAGTTCAAACGCTGATGCCGTGTCTGTTTGACGTAGGAACATATAATATTTACTGTTGATAGAGAGAGAGACGCACGCGCACGTACACGGTGGTTAGTTTTCATTTACATGGTGCTCTAATAAGTTTGATCGTGTCAGCTGAAACGTTAACGTCAGCGTTGTCGTTTTGGTCCAATTGGACCAAAATTGGTAGGTTCATTCTCCTTTGGTAGCTTGGTTGGTTCGATGAACCTTTTGGTAGGCAAACATGTTTTGAAAAAACAACCAAATTGAGCATTAAAATTTGTTCGCTTAATTTACGATTACACGTTCAAAACATTGCTTTCACTTTGCTCACACGTTGTAGTTGTAGTTTTTAGAGCTTCACGAAAATGCTTATTGCACGAAAACTAATGAAGCGATTTCAAAGAAGAGGGCGGCGCTTCAAAGATAAAATTCCAAACCTATCGACAGATTCATTTTTGTAAGTAACCAATTCGTTTTCTGTCGTAAAAAGAACCGAAAACATGGGTTTTTTAGGTATTGCAAAAAAAGCAAAATAAGGCACTAAAAAAGACAGAAAATACGAAGAACAATCAAAAAATATTTTTTTTAGAAATGTTTATATTACAAGTAAAAAGAGAAAAACTATGAACTAGTTTCATTATATGAAAAATTTGTACTTTGAATCTTTGACTATTTTATCCTTTCGAGTTTCTAACTCATAAAACTTTAATCTGTATAGTTGTAGTAACATTGAACCACAAGATGCATTTTGAAGTTTTCTGGCAGCATTTTCATTCGATTTTCGCGAAGAAAAGCCTTGAATGTACTAAATGTGCGATCGACGTAAGTTGATACAAGGGAGCCCAATTTAAATATGGAACGTTTGAAACGTTCATATTATCAGGAATAAGGGCGTTTTCCTCGCCCTTTACAATTTTATCCACACCCCTTATTGTCTTCAAGCCTGCGATTAGCTGAGAAAACGGCTTTGAATTTTTCAACACTAATTTGGCAAGAGGTCCCTGCGCTTCTATAAGCCGCATGGGACATGTGTATATTTTTTAATCTTAAAAAAAAAAATTGATAAATGCTATAATCACTTTTTTAAAGGTAGAAAAGGCAAATATATTAAATAAAGGCAAAAAAAAGGCAAATATCTTAAAAAAGGCAAAAAAAGGCAACATCAAATGTGTATATATGGAATCAGGGAAGCTAAATCGTGGACATTCTTAATCGAATATACTCTATCTCCTTAGCAGAAAAAAAGGCAATTTCCATAAAATCCGTTCCCTGTTTATAACCTTATCGCAGCGTATGTACATATTTAAATACATACATACGTATGTATATATGTTGATTGCAGTTAATGTGGATCTGTTTCTATTTTTTAGTAATCTATGTATCTCTATACATATTATATATGAACACATGTATGCATAATACGCGAAAACTTTTGAAGTGAAACAACACTTAGAAAAAACCAGTCCAAGAATAAAAGTAAAGGTGAGTACGTACATAGATAAAGAAAAGGATAAAGGCAAAGGTAAAAATAAAAACAAAAACAAAGTTGCGTAAAGATTAAGGAAAAAATGAAACACTTGAAATTTAAACACTTTACTTATATAAGAACAAAGGTGAAGGGGAATATGTATGTGAAGAATATGATAAACATAAAAATAACAAGTAAAGAAGTATAAGTTCGGGCGAAACCGAACATTATATACCCGACGCAAATATTAAATACCGTTTTTTCACCTTTCAGTAAACTGCATGATAAGCAAGAGTTTTTTTCCAAACATTTCGATAATATACTATGATTTATTGAAATAATTGGACCAAGTTTGGTGGAAATCGGTAAGGCGGTTATCAATATACACTTACGTAGTAAGTAATCAAACATCTTGTGTCTTGTTAAGTGATTGTTGTAAGTTGGCGTCTTAGCTTATTAAAAAATCGGAGTTTTCGTATTTCTGAAATGTACCGTTATATGGTAAGTGTCAGTACTTTTAGTCCGATTTCAAAAATTTTCAGCATATTGCTTTTTCACGCCAAGGTTGATAAATGTGCCGAGTTTGGTAGAAATTGGTAAACCGGTTACCGAGATACACATATGGGTGTTTCCATGAAAATGTCAACCAGTACTGAAAAAATAAAAACAACTGAAAAGGGTTTTTAAGACGAATTAATAAGAGAAAAATACTCGAATTTTTATATTATAGAAGTATTTCAGCTTATTGGAATTTTAAAACTCAAAAATGGAAGTGTAAAACCGAATGTCTCTTCGACTCAGTTTTCTCTAATGAAATGAACTATTTTCTCTTTCCTATTAACTAAATTAAGAGATTTGAAACATTACAATCAAGAATGATAGAATACAAGATTGCGCCGATCAGAGAGGATTTTTGAGCGTAATTTTTCGGTGACGTCACACTGGTGCAGATACTTGAAACAAGTGCCTATTGTATAACCTTTTATATAAGAAATATTTGTATTCTCTTGCAGATATTTCCGATGCACACACAGTTGGCACTGCGCCGTTGAAATTATTGCGTCAGTGTTTGCGTCAATTAGATTTGTTGAAAAATCTTTGGCAGAATGTGTTACCCGATGCAATTTATAACAAGACATTTTGCGATATTATACATGATTTTTGTAATGAAATAATACGACGTATACTCGCAATGGAGGACATTTCGGCAACAGTGGCAAGTGAGTTGAGTGAGCTAATCGGTGTCATATTGGAGAAGGTGCCAACTTTATTCAAGGTAAATTTCTGATGGGATGCAATGATGCGAATCAAATGCTATTTTTTTTGTACTTCCTGCAGCACAAACATGAAGTGATACATATTAAATCTTGGATAAAACTTGAGCAATTCAAACTGATACTGAATGCTTCGTTGAAAGAAATCACCGAGCAGTGGTGTGAAGGTGCCGGTATTTTAACGGCAAACTATAAGGCAGAAGAAGTTAAGCATCTCATACGAGCACTTTTCCAAAATACCGATCGGCGCGCCAAGGCATTAACGAAAATTGTCTAAACAAGATACACTGCGTTTTTTCTGGTAGTATAAGATTTTTATTTTAAAATTTTGAAATAGTTATTAAATAATAGGTATGTTTTTCTGAAATATTTCTGATAAAAGTTTTCGTTGCATTCGCTATTTTTTTGGTAATATTCGCAATGTTTACATGCCTTCAAGCAAGAATTGTGCACAGATAATGAACGACGACTCATCCATC